AGGACTCTTGACGAAGATTGCTCCCGACACAAAGTTGCTGTGTGTTACTTCCCCTAGTAATGAGTTGTCCCTCATCACTTGAAGATCGAAGTGACAAGTGGAATGTCACTTCGCGCCCTAATTAATTGTGGGGCGTCCAACAATTTTATTCGACGCCAGTCGCTAGAGGATAGTAGACTGATCTATGTTGAGCGAGAGTTCCCTCCAAAGAGGATGACGTGTGCCTTGCTACAGGCGCATCCGTAACAGTGAACAAACGTGTAGTGGAAACCCACTACACGCTAGAAGGAAAGCAGTACGATGATGACTTCATCGTAATGGATTTGGATGACAAATTTGATGTCATCCTCGGTATGCCATGGCTTAGAAAATACCAGCCATGGGTTAGCTGGCAGCATCGATCCGTGAGGATGCCTGCCGTTTGTTCATCGGATGGCCATCTGATGAACGTCTTGGAGCTTCCCCAAGCGTGTGGATGTACTACTGGTGAGTGCGATGGCCTCACTTGTGTCACGGTCGTTAGTACGATTGCAAAAGATCACAGTGTAGAAGACCACTGCACTGTGGAACCAGCTTCCGGCACCTGTGTAGAGACACAGGCTGCGCCTAAGGTTCACCACTCGAAGAGATCGAGTGGACTGGAACACGGATGCACACCAAGAAGGGTGCATCTAAGAAGAGAGGATGTGTTGTTTAGGATGAACAACGCGTTGAAACGAGATCGACAATCAGAGAATCGATCGTAGAGCAATCCCGATCGACTGAAACAGATTCGATCGAAGATGAAGTTAATGTGGTATTACACCCACAATCGGTACACGTAAAGCAAGAAAGTTCCAGCGTTTCTAAGAATGATAACTCTCGAGATAGTTGTGTTGAGGGTGTAGATCCCAACCACCTGCGGATGTGTTTTCTCAGGAAATCACCGAGACAGTGAATTTCTTAGTGAATGACGGATCAAGAGTAGGCGCTTATAAACTTGATCTGGTTAAGCCCCTAAAGTTATCTTGGAGTTAATCAAGTTGCCAACGCTAGAATCTAAAAGATTCTTGCGAGATCTGCGTAGTGAAAAGATCAAGCAGATCTGCGTACTCGTCACAGCGTATGAGTACGTAGCCAATATACGGTTGGCACAAGTGTTTGCTGAGAACGTACGGGTTCTCAGTAGCTCATCGATGAACGAGAGTGTCCTCGATGAGAAGACCTGGATTGAGCGTCGCACGTCTCAATCTTGGGAGTCTTTGAAGACAAATCCTTTATACAAGGATTTGGTTATATACAGGGATGTTATCCCTATATCCGTGCCATACGAGCTGCCCGAGGACAAAGGCACTCGGCATGAGATCGAACAGAAATCGGGATCGGAGTCCTGTACTAAACGGGCTCAAAGAAATGAAACAGTGGCCACTGCCTCGTTAACAGGTCACAGTGACCGACAAATTCTTTGCCAATCGATTAGCGGCCGGTAATGTGAGGTAATCAACATCCCAACACAGCTCTCCGACCTTCTGTGTGCGAAAGGCCACAGGAGGGTGGCGGATAGTACACGCGTTTAAAGAATTGAGCGCTGCAACGATACCGTCTCAGACGCCGATACCAAGGAAGAACGTAATCAGTGATGTTATAGCAAAAAGTACCATCTTTTCGTCCATGGATCTGATGGATGAATTCTATCAGATCTTTATGCGTGAACAGGGAATTCCGTACACAGCAGTGATAACCCCCAGTGGTATGCTATGGGAGTGGCTAGTGATGCCACAGGGGCTAGGTAACGCCCCCGCAACGTTTTACAGATGTGTTACGAATCTGTTGCAATCGGTGCGCGAGTTCGCACCGAGTTAATTTGACGATGGCTTCGTTCATGTCCCGGCTATGGATGGAAAGACGGACGTGGAGGTTCATTGAATCCACGTTCGGAAGGTTCTTACTCTAATGCGAGAGCATAAGTTGTTCGCGAACATTAAAAAAGTGTTTATTCGCAGCGAACGAAATGCCACTTCTTGGCTGCATCGGGGGTAAAACGGCGCACGCCCTGATCCGGAAAAGATCAAGGTGATCACCGACTGGCCTGTGCCGGTTGATGTCAAAGCTCTTCGAAAATTCCTTGGGCTAGCGGCGTATTTGCATAAGTATTCACGCAACTATGCCGAGATGACCGTACGTCTCTCTCGTTCGTTAAAGAAAACCGAGAAGTGGTCATGGAGCGCTGAGTGTCAGCACTCTTTTGAAGGCATCACGAAAAGCTTGGTGCAGTCGCCTGAATTGTCGATTGCAGATGAGGATAGACCATTTAATGTGGTCTGTGACGCCAGCGATTTTGTAATCGGCTGCTCGTTAATGCAGCACGATGCCTACGGCGCTGAGCGCGTCGTCTGTTATCAATCGCGTCAGCTGCAAGCAGCTGAGCAAAATTACCCAGTGCATGACAAGGAGCTCCTTGCCATGAAATACGCACCGGCTAAGTTTCGGGTACATCTTTTAGGATATAGGCCCCTCATCGTTAATACCGACCATGCGTCGTTACGCACGGCCGTAAACAGTCCAAACTTCTCGCAACGAATGGCAAGGTGGTTGTCTTTCTTCGCGGAGTACACCTTCTCCGTCCAGTATAAAACAGGGAGACTTAATGTCGTCGCTGATGCTCTTTCGCGTCGGCCCGATTTTGAGCCGACTGCTCTACACAACAGTAGGGGTGATCCCACTGTCGCGACACTAACAGTGAGTGTTCCATCGATAAATCTGCTCGACGACGTGCGAAGAGCATACGCAGAAGATGAGTTTCTTCTGCGGTTGATGGATTACGTATCCAATTCTTCTAATTAAGCTTTGAAAAGCTTGTCGCCTCAATACCTCTCTTCAACCGAAAGTATTCTGTTCGTGATGGAATGCTGTACTATACAACAGTCAACGGCGACACACCTCGTGTCTTCGTTTGCGGCTCATAATGGTTTGCGACTGCGCATCATGTATGAGTGTCACGATTCCCCACCAAGTGAGCATCGCGGTAGGGAAAAGGCTTACCACACGGTGAGTCGTGAATTCTACTGGCCCCTCCAGTATGTGTTTGTACGAAATTACATTCGCGCTTGCGAAGTTTGTCAACGGGTGAAGCCTAGTCCTTCATCCCGCGCACCCTTACAGCCTCTTCCGATTCCAGCAGAGTGTTGGCAGTCTGTATCGATGGACTTCGTCTTCGGGTTTCCCAAAGACGTTCACAAGAAAACTGGTGTTTTTGTAGTTTGTTGATCAGTTCAGCAAGATGGTACATCTTGTTGCTTTACCAGAGTCGATAACAGCCCAGGGCTGTGCGTGTGTCTTCATCGATACTATCTTTCGAGTTCACGGGTTACCCCGTGAACTCGTGTCCGATAGAGACCCCCGCTACACAGCGGAGTTCTGGCAATACGTGTTTCGTTCACTTGAAACACGTTTAAAAATGTCGACTTCTGACCATCCTGAAACCGATGGTCAGACGGAACGCGTCAACCACGTCCTCGAAGAGATACTTTGAGGGTACGTCCACTCGTTTGAGAGTTGGAGTGAATTCTTGCCGATGGCAAAATTCGCCATCAACATCTCGGTGCATGCATTGACAACGCATACACCGTTCTTCATGAATAGCCTACGCCATCAACGTTTACCCGCCTTCTTAGAGCGTGACTCTAGTTTAAAAGGGGGACTCGCTCAAACGAAAACCTATCTGGTTCTTGCTCATCAACCGTCGACAATGGTGTCGACGTGATGGATGCCGATGTCGATGCGGTCGATATCGAGATGACGATGAAGACGATGCTGGTATTTTCAGCATCGCCAGTGACTGCCACAGTGAGGACGATGACGCCCTCAATGGTAAAGACAACGTTCTTTCAGCAGTGCACACGAAGGGCACTGCTGTTGACAAGGATGAATCAGCAGACGATTTCTGCTGACTCGCGAAGCGGTTGTCCGCTTCGTTCAAAACTCTATTGCAGATGCATTAGACAGACAGAAATTAACGCAGACAAACATGGAAGAGCAAATGTTCTTTCATTTGATATAGGAGACCTAGTTTTACTGTCTACAGTAAACTTGCCGAAGCACGCAGTGACAAACGTGGGCAGCAGTAAATTACTGCCCAGGTGCATCGGTCCATTTCGTGTGTTGTGCCGAATGGGCAACGCGTACACAATTAAACTGCCTTGTAGGATGCGTGCGCTTCCCAAGTTTCACGTTGGACGTCTCCGCCCGTACTATAAGCACGAGACCGATATGAGATGCGAAAAACACCTCCACGGTCGAGAGCCGAGACCACCCTCGAGTGGTCCCGTTTCAACGATCCAGTCTGGTTGACTAGCGAAGCGACCTGTTCACGCAGCTTAGCGATGTCTCGACGAGCAGCAGCCAGCTCATCACAAAGAGAACGATCCGAACGTTCGTTCTCAAGTTGCGCGAACGCAAAAAGGGCACGATCGTCCGAACGATCGTGCGTTAGGGAATTATGATTATCCCTCACAAGATCCTTAAGCCTTTAACGCCGAGATCGTTCAAGAGCCAGGTCATCTTGCAACTGTTCCGTTACACGGTTCAGCTCTTGAACATCAACTTGATCCGACCCTCGAGCCGGATCAGGTGTTCCCACCGCCACCACATTGTTTGGTCGACTCAAGCGGTGGTCAACGCTTCCTAGTTAAGCGTATTTTGAACCTCTGCGATGTGAATGGCGTCCGGACGAGTTACCTCGTCCGCTTGCGTGGCTATCCACCGGCGTGGGACAGCTGGGAGCCTCGTGCCTAGCTGATTGTTGATGTTTCGGGTCTCGTCGAGCAGTACGACGAGACCCAACCGCTGCGTTTGAAAAGGGGCCGTCGGAAAACGACCTCCCCGAACACGACTACAGGGATTGCAAGGTGTCAATCCCTTCGGCCATCTCGGAAGAGATGCGCGCACTCCAGTAGGAATCATTAGGGAGGTAGGCCTCCGTAAGGGCACGGTTCGAATTGTCCAGGCAACCTGGACACGAATCACCCCCCAAGAGACAGGGTATTCCTGCCTCTCTTGATAGCCGGTGCAACTTGCATCGCGCCCCGACTGGGTTGCGTTCTTTCAAACCTGATGCGAGCTGCATCAGCTTTGGCGAGCCAAGCCTCACGGCCAATACGCTCGATGTTGTGGATGAGGGCATTCCATCCCTGCACCAAGGCTTTGCCGTCTTGTACACGGCTACCATTGTACCACCGATGCTTGAAGAACGCATCAGTGAAGAGTTTTTCCTCAGCATGGATAGTTTCCGTGCCGGAATCAGGATGGCAAATCTTCCTGCAATCGAACAACGGGATTTGATCCTGTTCGGTAGGCGTGCCGGCCAACCGGTCCAACTCTCTGGATCGTGGCATCAACGGAGACTCCGCTTGAGGAGCGTGGAACAGGACATTCCGGTCCCTGGCCTCTTGATTGGTGCCAGCATTAGCACTGGCACCAGTATTACCCCGATCCCTTGAGCAACCTCGCCCGTAGTGATACATAAATGCATCCCCACCATCCCCACGCATCCTATCGATAGACGGACTTGCGTGAGGCGAATATTCATCGGAATAATCACTCGATCCGAAGATTTCGGTCATGATACTGCCGCGCTGACCAGAGCCAGTCAGCCTGGCTTTAGCAGTGTCCGCCCGGGTGATCCGGAGGCGTAAGGCGTCGCCTTCGAGTCGGATGCATCATCCGACTCGCCAGAATAGATGAGCTCTATTTCAGACTCTTCTGGATTATGACTCGCAGTACATGCTGCAGACGCAGCAGATGTACCGGTCGCACGTGGTGACTCACCACGTGAAGGATTCACGACAACAGGCGACGAATCGCCTGCTGACGAGGTGCGAGAGGCACTTTCCGTGGCCGCACATATGCGTGCAGTCGCTCTTCTTGCTGCTGCAGTAGCAGCTCGCGTGGTTTTCGAAACCATGCGTTGGATTGGCAAATGAATGGAATTTAACCAACAAGTGCTCCCTTTCCCAGAGTGAACCAACGGTGGTCATCCTGGCCCAATCAATTTTAATTCAATCAACGGGTCATTGATGGCTAAGGGGGTTGATGTAACAGGGTAGCTTGTTACATGAAATTGACACCAAACGGTGCTAATAGGAATATTGTCTAGCATGACGATATTCTACCGATATTATCCGAGATGGGTAACATCAAAGGAATATTATCCCTTTTGGATAATACTCATGCGCTGCTCCATGATGGGTCGATATAAGACATATCGACCAAGGTTACCACCAATCGCTGCTAGACGCGCGCAATGAGTGGTAAGCAGGTTGTCGTCATACGAAGACGTAGTTTAATACAGTTAGATAAAGATTGTAGTTATATTGATATCTTAACTACATTAAATACAGTTCTGTTTTTACTTTTACATGAACGAGTCGTTCAAGTAAATTAGCTTCCTCTGCACGTCCTAGTGTACGTGAAGTTTCGCGGCACCCTCTAACAAAAAGTGCCCCTTACAATCTTCCCCATTCACTGTAAATCGACGATTCCAAAAACACGATGCACATGTTCAAAGCTTCCCACCCTCGAATTGTGGTGGAGTGCTGTGCTATACCCATCTATCAAAATTGCCTTTTGTAGACAGCATTGCACGAAAATTGCAGATTCACTACTTGAACCTCCCTTTTTGCCATTTTTAATACTTTGTTGCCTTTTAAAATGGCAACATATTTTTTCGGTACTTTCATCTCGTCAAGCGCGTGGCAAGAGTTAATCAACTGAAATAAACGTCTCTCCTGAGATCTGGACAAACATTTCTTGTTGCTTCTTTAATAGGAGGTAAAAGTACGATGTAGTGGGTTGTATGCGATTGATGGACTTTACTTCTTAAGAGTGAACAGTACGATTTGACAATTTAGGGCGCTCAAATCCAATTACTTGTTTAATTATTCGGTAAAGGCTCATTAGCAAAACTGAAGGCTCATTTGCGGCTCCTCAATATTGATTGATATTGATGTGGTCAACTTCCTACCCTCGGTGGAAAATCTAGTTCTAAAAACATTTCACTTTTCATGAGATTAAATAGCCGCGAATGTCCTAGCCTTCCGTGTCGCTAATGATCCTTTACCTTATACATTACATGTAATGAAGCACCGAAGCAACACACTAAGCAACCGTTGTGGAGCTTTTATCACCGACAGCGGCGTGAGTGGTGCCTCGCTACACATGTAAAACTACGCAGAGGAAGGAAAAGCGACTGGAAACTGACTAGTTGCTGTAAAAATAAACCTGTATTGAATATAAGTAAGACCTCATCATATACCGATGTTCTAGTCCTAGCTTGATTACACTTATCGAAGACAGTAAATCTTAAGTCTTATTTACCACACATTGCGCGCGTCCATCGTTGATTGGACCGCTAGAGCTAAATAATATGATGACCCATATCAGCCAATTGGTGAGTGTTTTTGAATATTACCCTAAATGTTAATGTTCATGAACATCCTCAACCTTTTAGATAGAATTCTGATTAGCAAGTATGAAAGTTAATTACATGTAAAAGGCTCACCCCGAGACATCAAACTATTAGCTACATTTAAGGGTCTCGAATGGCCGATGTAAGTTCCTTTTTGTGCTGCTCATACTCTTGCTGCAGTTGCATGCTATGACACACCCATATTCTTAATTGCTTGTCGCACACAACTTTGAAAGGTGGTGAGATTGCCACTCAAACAAAAATTGATATGAAACTGATGGGAGTAAGATTACGTCGAGATGGCACCTGAATAAAGTCACCTGCATCGTGTCATCGACTGCGTAAAAATGCATCTGCATTAACTGTTTAATGTGTTTATAGTGCCATTGACGGCACCAAGTACAGATCGAACGGTGCGCTATCGTCGATAGTTCTCACTGCTTAATGTGCTGTAGGCGCTGCTGATATATGTGCTGAAATGGGGCACCCTGAAACTTGTACTGATGACAGTACAAGCTACTTATTCTGACGACAGAATAAGGCGGTGCCTCGGAACTTCACGTACACTCGTACGTACAGAGGAAGACGGTAAGGAGAAGCGAGTACTTGGTTAAAGTAAAAAGTAGAATTGTATTTATAATAGTTAATGTCTGCAATAAATCACTATTTATCTTCATCTAACTATGTCTAAATGCAAATGTGTAAATCAGTTATCTGCTCACCACTCATTGCGTGCGTCTGTCGTGGCGCGTCTTCGTTGGTTAATATAATGGCCTATATCAACCAATTAGGAACTACTCGTAAGTGCTACAGAATATTTGTCCTTATGACAATATTCTGAGAATTTAACTCATACGGTTATATTCTATTAACGATTTGTTATAAATTGTTGTGTAATGATTTACCCCGTTACATGTGCTACTTGACGGCATGTCCTTACGTTACGCGCGACGGGCTTTTTCCACAAAATCAGATTTCCTGTAAGCTGGTAAGGACTTTATATTGCTTAAAAGGGGAGGTCAGAATTACGATAGCAGGTAAAATGAGGTGAATCAGCGTTACGTTTCCAAGAAGTACATTAACACAATTTAACCATCGAGAGGTCTTTACTTTACTTTTGTGATGTACAATGTAAAGGCTACTTTGTAAAAACTGAAGGTTCATTAGCCGCTCCTTTGATTTTAATGTGTCTTTGACTGCTCTTTGTTGTTGACAGCGTTTACCGGCAGCATCATCAGCCGTCTTCCTTTTTTTTGTAAAGAGCATCAACAAACACCAATGAGTAGAGCAGGTCTAACCATCCCCAACCAATCGGCTTTGCATTGTTAAAACAAAACGCGCAATCAGTTTCCAAGCCGCCAATCGCCCGAAATATCGGTTATGTGAATATCCAAAACTTGATTTAGCTCTCGAAATTGAATTACCTGTATCAAATTGGCGAGCTCTAGAGCTTACTCTTGTGCATAATTGTGAAAGGTACGTGTGAAGGCTGCGTCTGGTGTTTACACAATCGAAAACACCCTTCACGTTAAATCATTTGTGAGTACAAATAAATTTAACATGAAGGGTGTAATGACGCCTTGCTTGCTGCTTGTTGGTTAATTTTAGCGAAAAGGCAACATTCTGCAGATCCCATTTAGTACCTGCCTTTGGAGCCATCGAAGCTGTGCACAGCGTAACGTCTACAATACGTTATTTACAAAATCAGAAGAAGAGATCAGGTTGTGTAGACTCCTTCTCATTGCTTAATTTTAATTTTTGTGTGAACCCACCTCGGCATCTACTATGACTCGACCTCAACGTCTTGGGTTGCCATTCTGCTGGCTCAGTGTACTGTGCGCCACGGGAGGACGCACTCACATAAAGTATACACGAGGGCAACCCTTGAATATGTCGGGAAATTTAATTTGTGCCCATTTCCTACGTCACAATCGTGTACATATTTGCCTGGACGCCCATACGGACGAGCCAGATGAGAGAGGGTGAGACTGTCTATTGTAGCTACTTATCACTTGTACAATGTCTGGTTTTGTTGTACCCACCTCGTGTCATCTACTATGACACAGTTTTATTACTCCTAACTTTCTTATTCTGCTGGCCCAAGACGTCGGGCATCATGGCGGGGCACTCTTCAAAATAATGCCCGTGGAACCGTCCGTTGACCAAGTCCGAGGCTAGATTCTTGTGCGCACTCTACCGGATGGCGGGGCTGCTCTCGCGCTCGGAGCAATTTGATTCAGGGGACAGAAGCGTTTGACTAGGAGTCTGTTACCACTGCGGTAGGCCCAGCGAGCCATCTTGACGAAATCCCTGGCCATCACCTCGTAGTCGACTTCGTTGCTCTTTAGGTCGGCACGGGCTCACAATGTACTATAATATGCCCAGACGCACCACTGGACAAAGAGTATCTGGCTAGGTGCTACTGCACATCAACAATCAGTACTGGATCTCAACGGATCATCACGGTCTTGGGGGAATTCTCCTCGTGGAACTGCGCTCTTGCTCGGCAAATGTGTTGGCAAAATGCAGGCAACTCTTAAAAGGGTAAGAACCTCTTCGTTGGGCTGGGTGATGTGACCCATCGTCGACGTGCCGTGCACTACGATATCCTGCAAACCGCTTCTACCTCAATTCACACGCTGCGCTGCCTCCGGTAGCGCAAGTAGCAAGGAGAAACCCTCACCCTTTTTACCTTGGCCCCACTATGGGAGACTTTCCGCCCAGGGAAAAGGACCAGTTTCCTGTCTCCCTGGAGGGTCTTGTCTCTGTCTGTTGTTGCAGCTGGCTGTCGATTGGGAGGCGGACAAGCCAGATGCTTACTTTAATTAAACGAAACGGTAATTAATCTCAACGTGGTCGGTCACATTCTAAAAGGAATAGTTTTCTTTGTCAGACGGGAGCGCGCGCAGCGAGCTGGTCGGCGATGTGGTATGCAAATTTTGCAGAACAGGAACAGACGAGGTCCAGAGTAAATTACCCGTCGGTCTGCCCGCAACACACCGAGATTTGACAGCAAGTTTCTCATCTCTAGGTCGCCGGCTGCGCGGCCTCCCGTAGTACGCCCGGATTATGAGACTCCCCTTATTCTATACGGACTCATTATGGGGACTTCCCGTCAATGAAAAGAAGGCCTGTTTCTGGCGCCTCGAACCCTCGTTTCCCTCTAGTGTAGTAGAGTATTCCCAAGTGAGAAAAGACCGGCTACTGACCTGGTCCACTGAGAGCCAATACGCACGCAAGCACGCCGCCTCCCGCCGATCGCCTTCGACAATGTTCAAGAGCCACTACACCGTCAAAGCTTTAAGGTGTTAACATGTAAATAGACGATCGTGAAACTCCTCTTCAAAGCTTTGAGATGGTTTGCACGATCGGCAAATTTGGCCAGAGATTGAGGTTGCCATACTCGCTAGACCTTGTGCACTGTGACGTGGTAACGATTCGTGCGCATGATCGGGTACGACTTACCATCCAGTGACGCCAGCATTAAAGCCCCTAGCTCTATTTGAACAACTGGACGCAATGCAAAGAATTGACACGTCCTTGACCACCAACGATGGCTCGTATTGCTCTTTTGTCGACGTCTGCTACATCATTGACTCAATCCGGAGTACCAGCAAATGCGTGGAGTACCGGTCGTTTTAGCTGGATATGCGTAATGAGGTTGTACAGAACGTGACACTCAGCGATGGACAATAATTTCCCAAACTATTTCGTACTTGCCACACTATTCTGTTTGCTAAATTATTCTGAAAGCATTCGGTCGCACAGACGTATCCACTGAGATAGACTGGTGTGAAATCGAATGGGATCAGTATGTCTCACGCTCTTTGCTTTTACATTGCTGCACCTGGACATGGCAGCCGCGCTCGGCTCGCGTCTGATTACAGAGACATGTATGTGGTAGTGCACCAAAGGGTCTGTGGAGGACATTGATTCTAGCCAGTTGACTCGAGGCCTAAATGAATGGGGGACAGTTCCTGAGGAGAAACAGCTAAGGCGTTTATAATATCCGTCCGGGCAGTTAATGGAAGTGGTGTATGCTGTATCGGAAGTAGATTATGCGATCTCGCATACGTGGTATTCGCAGCCGCTTTTGAATGACTAGTCCAGAGAGTGTTACTTGACGATAGAAGGGTAGATCACTGATTTTTGTCAGTGCTCGGACAGGGCATCATACGATACGACACGAAATTCGGTTACACAAAGACTTCCTGTGATCGAACGACGACGTATTACTTTTGAACAACGGGGTACAAGAACCTTTCCTATGTGTCGGGGGACATAAATGGACGTTGGATTCACATGTTTAACGTTCGCGGGTGCCGCCCAGAACTCACTGTCATGGCTAGGAAATGCATCGGACAGAGTGCCAGAACACTTCGAGGGACGTCACCGAATTTGCGTGGTTGTAACAAACGTCGCAAAAGAAATCGACACTACACACCATCGCGGATTGCTCATCGTGCGACATCGGAGCGCGCTGTCCTTATGTGCTGGGTTCAAGCTCATCGAAAGCTCGTTTTCACAGTCTTGCATTTCTTTCACACAAGACGACGAAAAAAAACACAGATGCGGTAGCAAGTCTAATCTGAATTTGAGCGTCAGCCCCCGACATGGATTTTCTGGCACTTTCCCAATGGTTTGCGGATTGTGTTTCTTGGCACTTCAAAATTCGATCACTTGCTCCCGATTGACAGCATCGCCGCCGAAGATGCGCCTCCTCTTGTTCGCCCTTGCGATTTCCGCCGTGATTCGAGCACGCCAGACGATCTCCTTGACTCCAAGCGAATCCAGGATGACGGTAGCTGACCCCTCGGCAAGTGTTCATTCTTCTGGCGGTTGCCACGACGGCGTTCCTGCCAAGCGGCTGTTGACATCAGACGACCCTGTGACTCACGAGGAGAGGGTCTGGTCACCGGCTGAACTAAAGATCAAGTCTGCACTTATTGAACTGGTGAGGAATGCGCATCAACTGATTCCGGACCTACGTACACAACTCGTAGTTGATGCAGAGAGGTTGCGAACATACAACCAGGATGCTATCCTGCACTTTTTCAAGACGTCCCCTTACGGGACACCCCAGCAGTTACTTCAAAGACTGGAACTGGCTACCCAAATGATGCAGAACGCACCGGATGGTGGAGTCACGATGCTTAGAGAGATTCGACGTTCCTTCCGTGCATATGAGGAAAACATTGCCATGCGGGAATCAGACGTGCGTCGTGGAAAGTTGCAAAGAGCTGAACTGGACCCTGTCGATGTCATTAAATTGATAAAACGCACCCCGGGCGAGGTTAATTTAGCAAGTGGTGACTACCCAGCAGATCCGTTCGCAGCTTTAAACCTACGACATTTGGATGCGTATATCAAAGATTACAACGCGAAGCAAGGTACAGATCTTACGTTGGTCAGAACGTTGGCAGGAGCCACCGAAAACTTGGCTGAACTGGCATCTGCTCTGTCGACTTTGATGCGCACCCCTGCCAACGTTAATCTTGTACAGGACGTGGAAGTAGAGCTGTTTGGGTACATGCGAAGACTCGGGATCACGATCAAACGCGCTGCTGGTATCCTGGGGATTGCAAAACTGGAGGATCAAGTCGTAGGAAACGGAAAGCTGAATTTTTTCATTAGATTTATCCGTTTCCTTGCCTCGGACAGTTCTGCTCGACAAGGTATCGCCAACGATTTCGCAGAGATTTTTGGCGAAGGCCAGGTTGCAGCACTGTTTGAAAAGGCGAAGTCAGTGAACCTGCCAGCCAGCAATCGGTAGTCGATTGAGGTGTTCGAGCTTGTGATGGTAGAACGTGTCACTCCCGAATGCTCAAGCACGAGACCAACGAAGCAGGGCCTACAATACCAGCTACAGTGAGTATTGGGACACTGGTTCTTCAGCATAATACCGCACAATGCGCTAGGACTTGAGCGGTACAAGAGCGCAGGTCCTTTGTAGTTTTGTCCGTCGTTAGTCACCTAGCGATGACAGATAACAATACACAATTGGATGTTACGCTACCGTGGGGAATACATCAACGCAACTGACCTCACTTGTGAATGAAACACGCTCGTTTTCATCTGGAAGAGCTGAGTCGAAAGAAAGTCAACACCAGGTGATTTGTGCAAAATTGCTGACGTCGAAGGTATTACAGCAGCACGCCAGATAATTCTGTTTGGTAGCGACGAGACCGAGATGGTGCTGCCTCTGACCAAAGCTGCATCAAAACAGCTTAGTCCATTGAGGTCGCTTGACTTGGTAAAAACTATCTCGTGTGTTCTGGCCGGATGTCCATGCTGAGCCGCTGGCGAGCATGGACGGTGGACTTGTCTCACGGTGGACAAGTTGCAATAGTCCGATTGTCACGATAGCTCGTTGCGTGGTAAAGTTTCGTGTGGGCGTGCAGTTGGAAAAAAAGAGGAAGTCGAAAGCGGGAGTTCACGAGGCGTAGTTATGTTTGCAAAAAAAACATTCGCAGCAGATGCAACCTTCGAAGCACTCTTGTTGCTCTCACGCCCGTTCAGCGGTGGCATTGATAGCGTGTGCACATCCAACATGCCATTCTGCGTCACAATTATGTGCGCCGTATGCAGGGCAGATACAAACGCTCGTCAGTGTAGAGCAGTCATGCACAGTATTTCACGCAATTGTTCAGCGCACGTACCACGTCGAATTTGCACTACTCGGCTTCTTCTCGACGGTACAAGTTATGGCTCGCGATCCGACCCGCAAATACGTGGATGTTATGAAGCAGTCCAGCAATATACAGGCAACGAAGCCATCGTGCTGTACAAAGACTGATCAGTCGACTACCTGTGAAGCATCCTTTTGCCCCTTTTGTCGTTACCGACGATAAGCGCAATCTCAGGTACATCTAGTTCGTTCTTCAGCATATATCGGATCAACAAGACTGACGTAGTCATACTAGCACCAAATTGACGCAGCTCCACGTATCCTTTCACGTAAAGAGTTACTCCACCCCTCTACTTCTCAGATCGAATTGTTGATTCTCATTATCAACATGCTAGGAGCAAGATGGTACCTCCGCAATCTTGCGAAGCTAGATACAAAGCCCCAAGAACTGAATCTCTCCATTGCGTCGATCGCAGTCCTGGCAGGACTACCACGAGGATGCAGTCTCTGCAAGCGAAGAAACGTTTCTTCACCCTGCGTAGGCACGCGTTGCGCTTCAGACGTCATCAATTTCAGCAAAGTGTTTGCTCGTCCTCATCACACACTACCAGTGACTTCTGCCAGGTTGATGACGGTCCGCTTTCTGCGAACAGACTCAAGGTCGAGATGTCCCCAAAATGTTCCTCGAGCACACGACAACGTGCAGTGCTTTCGGTAGCACCACACTATCAGGTCAGCGCACGAGGGCATAGCACCAGGCGATAGCTTCGCATCGTCAGAAACTGGCTTTCGAGCTTTTGCCGTTCACGTATGACATGTTTTTTCGGCCTGCACGACCCACAGGTCACCAGTGAGTGGCAACAAAGCTCAGTAAAAATTGGTTATCACATCATCCTAGGGTAAGAACTGCGCGTCCGTTGTATCAAAAATAGGAAGTGGGGCTCGACAGTCCTGCCGTAATCTGACAGAGATCCGGTGCGATGTCCTCGAGTATTCTTTCACAAGTTCATCAAAGTCGGAAGTCGAAACCAAATTCAACTCAAACGACTTCAACGAAAGTACAACGACAGCAAATCGTTGGACAGAAGAGTCTGTCCCAGGGTACCGCATCGGATCTTCCCGTTAAAAATCGATCGTTCACTTAGAACGAGCTTTGCTTTCTTCAAAAGTAACGTATCGCACATACTCCAGCAAATGCAGCAACCACATCGTCTACTTTCCATGTTCTCACAGTCAAACTACCGCATAGGGACGACCAGAGACACTACAGTCGGAAACGAGCGGGACAAATATGCGGCTTCGCCGACCAATTACAGAAGTGCTCCTTGGACTGCTTCAATTTGTAGAGTCTTACGACTAGCTCTCTAGGTAGCTGTTCAATCATGTACTCGACACGGAGCAATGAAGCATCCCACTAACACAGAGGTCGAGAGGATGTCACTCATTCGCCACGAATGACTCCCTCAGTACAGGCCATCATTTTCGTTTCTTCAGATAAACACCACGGAATTTCCGGGTAGAGCATTCAGGCTGTCAGCGGCAAAGTGCGATGCCTTACCCATCGGTCTCAATTCGGTCCTACATTCTGTGTAAACCAGTCACGTTTGGCTTAACATATGAGCAGGTGACAAAGACTTGCGTCCATTGTACTCGACGGCCAGCATGATATTCTCACATTCTTGTGCTCAAATCCCAAAAGCCGTTTGCTGCTTGTAAAAAATGCCGCCACGTCAAAGATGAGAGATCCAATGTGATCAGCAATCAGCGTCGCCCGAATTATTTGCGTGTACATGGCATGGCGGCAGGAAACCCCACTGGAGGGGAATGGCCACGCGAATACACAGCGATGAGTTTACGATGCGGTTCGTGCGGCAAGTACGACAACATCATCGAAAGTGCATATAATGAGCCCCACACTCATTCCGCACGATGGGTACTCTCGACAACTCGATGTATAAAAGCCCTGCGTCCTTAAATTAAGTCAGTTTCTCAATACAAATTTGATCCCATCTGATGATCTACCCACCTATTACACTGCAGTCGTCCGACCAGCACATGACTCTCCCGCTAGCCCTACCACACAGAGCCGCACCTGGCACACCTTTTTCTTCGTTGTTGGTATCTGTTAACCACTTGCTGCTCTTATCTCCCCTGTGCCATCCAGTTGCAGCTCTGCAGAGTAGTACACCTCGACCACATCGTGGAATATGGCCGAAGCAAGCCTTTACAAAAGCCCTGGATACAGTAGTGATGACGTGCATGAAGAAATACAGCAACTGCACGATGACGGTTGATTGAACTTGAGTGGAGGCTGTTTCACCACAACGAGCATTTCTTGTGTGGCGGTTAAAAATTGAGCTAGTGCCTAGCATGGCCTTCACTCTCGACTTGTGCGTAGGCGGTGGCAATTTTGATCAGGAATTGCTATGTTTACTGTCGTCCCTCCGATGATTATAGCCTCGATGGAGACGCTTTCTTAGTATCTTGTCGAAGATTATTAGTTATCGATGCAAGTGGCGTTATACGCATAGTCTACTGTTAAATGGCAACCTTGGTAAATACACGTCTTAAATTGTCAAATGGCAACTTTGGTAAATGCACGTCTTAAATTGTTAAATGGCAACCTTGGTAAACACACGCTTAAGATTGTTAAATGGCAATCTTGGTACATGTACGCCGTTTTGTGGTTATCGTGACGGACCGTTGGCCATATTTGTAGCCAGAAAGTCAAATCTACCAGACTCCTCGTTCGAAGTAGGCCTTTTATAACTAGCATGATCGATCACAGGCTCAGATTTACTGCAAACACAGTGACACAAATCTAAGGATAACTTGTAACGGGGCACCCTGAAGCTTGGACTGGTGACAGTACAAGCTACTTATTCTGATGACAGAATAAGGCGGTGCCTCGGAACTTCACGTACACTGGTACGTGCAGAGGAAGACGGTAGGAAGAAGCGAGTACTTGGTTAAAGTAAAAAGTAGAACTGTATTTATAATAGTTAATGTCTGCAATAAATCACTATTTATCTTCATCTAACTATGTCTAAATGCAAATGTGTAAATCAGTTATCTGCTCACCACTCATTGCGTGCGTCTGTCGTGGCGCGTCTTCGTTGGTTGATATAATGGCCTATATCAACCAATTAGGAACTACTCGTAAGTGCTACAGAATATTTGTCCTTATGACAATATTCTGAGAATATAACTCTTGTAGTTATATTCTATTAACAATTTCTTATAAATTGTTATGTAACGATTCACCCCGTTACATCACCCCCCCTTAACCATCAGTCACTTTAGTGACTGATTGACTAGATGGATACTCGTCCCAAATCATTTGGGACGGGGTTTGCACTTGTTGGTCCGCGTCCACTTTCCAACATTTCATCGCATGGTTAACAAGCCCATGCGATGCGCGAACAAGGCCGCCGAGAGCGCGTCTGCACGTCTCTGTGCGGACGCCGAAGCAGAAACCACAGCAACTGATGTCCCATCGGTTGCTGAAGCGACTCAGCCTGTGTCACCTGGTGATGCAGGCGCTGGTCATGAAGACACTCGTGTCTTCACAGAGTACGAGCTCGGTGTCTCGTACTCTCCTGATACGGATGACGGATCCGTATCGACGGCAATTGAATCTAAGCCGCCTGCCAAGCGTGGCATGGACGATGCTTTGCGTCGCAGCATCTTTGGTTCATCTGATGAATCAGATGAACCATCGCCGAAGCGAAGGCGCTCGAGGTCGCGAGGCTCGGGCGCTAACAGTGGTGCCGGTTCTCCTATGGACACCACTTCGCAACGAGGTGCCAGTACTTCTGTCGGCACGTCGCAGGAAGAGCGGGACCGCAATGTGTTGCGTCTCGCTCCTGAGAAGAAGGCATGGATGCCTCCAAAATCCGTCATGGATCACTTGTCGGCGACGACGAGTGATCGTTATCGAAAACGGTTGTTCGATTCGTCAAGGATTCATCACCTTGACCCCAGCGCGAAAAACTATCGCGCTGAACATGAATTCTTCATCGATGCTTTCTTTAGACATCGATGGTACAGTGGGAATCACAAACGTGATGGTCCCTCACTACTTCAGGCGTGGAACGCCTACATCCATAATCTCGAGGATGTAGGTCGTGACGCTTGGAACGACAAACTTATCAAAGCTCGTGATAAGTTTGAAAAGCGAACCCCGACAGGTGCACGCTACAAGCTGCATCGTCTGTCAAGGGAGAAAGGATTGCCCTGCCTCTCATGGGGAGACTCGTGCCCATGTTGTGTGAACAACTCTGCACGAGCACCTAAGGAGGCTTACCTCCTTACCAGCCCGTGGTGGCGCGTACGTGTCTCTACTGAGATGTACGAAGGGATTGACAACCTGAAATCCCTTTACGACCGTGCCGGGAAGACTTTCTCCGGCGGTCCTTCTGCGGCACAGGATGTGCCGCGTCGTACTGCTCAACCAGACCCAGTACGTCGATCATCAGTTGGGAGCGGGGCTCCCAAGAATCCCAGGACGGGGGATAGCCGCGCCACCGGACGAGGTAACTCGTCCGACGTCCGTTCACGTCGCGGTGGTTCAACAGCTGCTCAACTAGATAGCGCTGGCCACCGCGAGAGTCCTCTAATGGAGGTGGAGGAGGAGGAAAGATGCTCTCCACACGATCATGTGGATCGGTGTGTTCCCGAGAGCTTCTTTGATCGCGTAACGCAAGGGTTACGCGACGATCTCGAACATGAGCGGAATAGGCGTCTCCAAATGACGGACACTGCCTCGAAGCATCGAGCTGAGTTTGCCTTTGCTCAGCTCGAGAACGAGAGATCTCTGACATCTCTTCGTGACGAGCTAAGGGTAGCTCGTGGGATTGTTGATCGGTCTCGGGCTGAGATAACTGCTCTTCAGACCCTTGTTGATGCCCACCATCGGGAGCACAAGGCTCTCTGCGAGATGCTTGAGCGCAAGGGCGTTCTTCATCGGAAGAAGCAGCGTACTGATGGTACGGCTTAAGCCGACCAACGTAAAACGTGGGATGCGTTCGCATCTTACGTGGTAACTCGATCGTGTATGCATTGCCTAGGCGGTGCAATACACGAAATGGGCAGATGTACTTGGGTAGCAGTTTACTGCTACCCAAGTTAGTCACTACATGCTTTGGTAGATTAACCGTAGACAGTCGGACTAAGTCACCTTTATTAAATAAAAGAGTGTTTGCCCTTCCATTCTTGTCAGCGTTTTGCTTTTGCTTATCCACCGCTTCGGCGATGGAGTCTTGCACAAAACGGACTACCGTTTCACGAGCCAGTATGAACTCATCTGATGACTCGTTAGCTTCAGTGTGCTGTGAGAACACTGCAGCAACATCAACCTTTTCTTCAGTGAGGGCTTCCGCACTCTCACTGGCATCATCTTCTTCGATATCGATGTTATCGATATCGGCATCAAACGCAATGACTTCTTCGTCAGAGCGTGATGAGCGTGAACCAATTCGGTTTTTGCTCGCGCGAGTCCCTCCCCCTTAAACCAGAGTTACACTCTAGTAAGGTGGGTACACGCGGATGGCGCAAGCCATTCACGTAAAACGGTGTATGTGTCGTGGACGCATGCACCGAGTTGTTGATGGCAAACTCTACCATTGGCAAAAACTCACTCCAACTCTTAAAGGAGTGTACGTATCCTCGAAGTATCTCTTCGAGGACACGATTGGCACGTTCCGTCTGACCATCTGACTCTGGATGATCAGATGTTGACATCTTCAAGCGCGTTCCGAGTGATTTGAACACGGAACGCCAGAAATCAGCAGTGAATCGTGGATCTCTGTCTGATACGAGTTCACGGGGCAACCCATGAAGTCGGAAGATGGTGTCAATAAAGACACAAGCACAGCCACTTGCCGTGATTGTCTCTGGTACAGCCACAAGGTGTACCATTTTGCTGAATCTGTCAACAAATACGAGAATACCCGTATTCCCGCGTGCGTCTTTGGGTAACCCGAAGACGAAATCCATTGAGATGGATTCCCAGCACTCAGCCGGAACCGGTAGAGGCTGTAAAGGTGCACGCAGTGAAGGACTTGACTTCACTCGTTGACAGACTTCGCATGCGCGAACATACTTTCGCACAAACTGATACTGGCGGGGCCAGTAAAAGTCTCGACTTACCGTGAGATATGCTTTCTCTCGGCCACGATGTCCTCCTATAGGAGCATCGTGATACTCGAACATGATCCGCAAACGCAGATCAGTATCATCTGGGATGACAACACGTGGTGTGTCACCAGAAACGGCTGTATAATACAGTAAACCGCTGCGAGTAGTGTATCGATCTGATGCAGATCGATACGCAGACGACAATCGTTTCAACGATTCTCGGAATGGTTGGAAGAGATGTGTCAACACCTTCACAATCTCACCATCGTGGGCAAACACCCGCCTCACATCATCATGCAACGTTGTAGATGGGACTGAGGACGTCATACCGCAACGGCGACTGTCTCACTGTTGGGTTTCACGACTGGTTCAAAGTCGGGCCGACGTGAGAGTGCATCAGAGACGACATTGAGTCGTCCTGGTTTGTACTCGACCCTAAAGTTGTATTCTGCAAAGAATGACAACCACCGCGCCATTCGTTGTGAAAGGTGCGGGCTGTTCACTGCCGTGTGTAATGACGCATGGTCAGTGTAAACAACGAAGGGTCTATCTCCTAATAGATAGACTCTGAACTTCGCGAGTGCATACTTCATGGCAAGGAGCTCCTTGTCATGCACTGGATATTTCCGCTCAGCTGGTTGCAGCTGACGCGACAGATAGCAGACGACGCGTTCAACGCCTTCAAGATCGTACTGCATTAATGCACAGCCGATTGCTAAATCGCTGGCATCACAGACCACATGAAATGGCCTGTCCTGATCGGCTATTGCTAGGACTGGGGATTGTATCAAGCTCTGCTTGATACCCTCAAAGGAGCGTTGACATTCAGCGTTCCATAACCACCTCTCGTTCTTTTTCAACAAACGAGAGAGGTGCACACTCATCTCGGCGTAATTGCGTGAATACTTGTGCAAATACGCCGCTAGCCCAAGGAATTTTCGAAGACCTTTGACATCGACCGGCACAGGCCAGTCGGTGATCGCCTTGATCTTTTCGGGATCAGGACGTACACCGTTCTTACCAACGATGCACCCAAGAAGTGGTATTTCGCTTGCTGCAAATATACACTTCTTGAGGTTTGCATACAATTGATGCTTTCGCATGATTGTAAGAACCTGTCGGACGTGGTACCTGTGAACCTCAACGTCCGACTTTCCATCCATAGCTCGACTATGGATGAATACGTCATCGAAATAACTCGGCGCGAATTCTCGTACTGGCCTCAACAGATGTGATACACACCTGTTGAACGTGGCAGGGGCATTACTGAGCCCTTGTGGCATTACTAGCCATTCCCAGAGCATGCCGCTAGGCGTGCTAACTGCGGTATAGGGTATATCCCGTTCTCGCATAAGGATTTAATAGAAGCCATCCATCAAATCCATGGACGAAAAGATGGTACTCTTTGACATACCATCAATGATTATGTCCTTCCTCGGTATCAGCGTCTGAGCCGGTACCGTTGCAGCGTTCAATTTGTTGAACGCGTGCACTATCCGCCACCCTCCTGTTGCTTTTCGCACACAGAAGGTCGGAGAGCTATGTGGGGAAGTTGATTCCCTCACATGGCCCGCAGCTAAACGATCGGCAAAGAACTTGTCGATCGCAAGTACTTGTTCACGAGGCAGTGGCCACTGCTTCATGACACAGTACTTTGATCCTGGTTTAAGCTCGACCTCGTGTCGAATACCTTTATCCTTCGGTAATTCGCACGGTACAGTTTCAGGGAATACATCCTTGAATTCAACCAAATCTTCATAGAGAGGATTTTTCTTGAGCGATTCCCACGATTGGGAGTCATATCGCTCAATTCGTGTCTTTTCATCCAGGACACTCTCGTCCATAGATGAACTACTGAGAAGACTCTCGTTCTCAGTGAACACTGTTGCTGACCTTATGTCGGTTACACACTCGTCGTCAGCGACGAGTATGCAGATCTGCTTGACTTTGCCACTACGCAGATCACGCAAGAACCTTTTATGTTCGAGCGTTGGCAACTGAGTGATCTCCGAAGTTAACTTCGGAGGCGCAATCAGATCAAGTGTATAAGCGCCTACACTTGATCCGTTATTGACTATGACATTCAATGTCTCTGTCATTTCCTGGGGACTTATTCCCTCAGGCTTCGAAGGACTTATTCCTTCGTTTTTCCGGTGGACTTATTCCCGCGGGTTTCGGGGAACTTATTTCCGCCGTATTTGTAATCTTGGGACTTATTCCCTTTACTTCCTCTAGCTGGGGTTGCGCAACCACAGCGAGATCCTCTACGAAAGACTCTCCAGTCGATCTAGGATTATCGTTTCGCTTAACCTGAGCGATCGATTGTTTCTCTTCTAGATGTTCCCCGCTAGGGATACATCTTTGTCCCAGTCCACCCGACTTATTCGAGTGGTGGACCTTCGGCGCAGCCTGTGTTTCCTCACAGCCGCCGGAACTTTGCTCCGAAGTGTAACCGTTTGGTACACTAAGGTTTTGTGCAGTCGTACTAACGACCGTACCACAAGTGAGGCCATCGCACTCACTTGTAGTACATCCACACGCTTGTGGACGCTCCAAAACGTTCATCAGATGGCCATCTGATGAACAAGCGGTAGGTGTCGTTACTGTTCGTTGTTGCCAGTTTACCCGTGGTTCGTACCTTCTGAGCCACGGTATTCCAAGGATGACATCAAATTTGCCATCCAAATCCAATACGATAAAGTCATCGTCATATTGGGTATCTTCTAGCGTATAGTGGATCTTCACTATACGCTTCATGACGGTTACGGATGCGCCTGTCTCAAGACGTACCGTCATCCTCGTAGGAGGTGTGTCACATTCACTGAATTTAAAGTGACCGTCTTCTAGCGATTGGCGTCGCACAAAATTGTTGGACGCCCCACAATCGACTAGAGCTCGAAGGGACAACTTATTCGTCACTTCGAGTTTCAAGGTAATGAGTGAGACCTCATTACCTAGAGCAGCAACGCACAACGTTTGTGTGTTGGGAGCAACCTTCATCAAGAGGCCTACAAATTCTCTTGACTCCGCACCTACTGATCCTGTCTGGTTTTTGACGGTCCATCCCGTTGTTGCGTCTTTGCACCAACTGCGGACCCTCGTCCCTGCCCCTTTCTCATGGGTGGACGGTCACTACGCCCAGTGTCGCGAGGCACTGGACGAGGGGCACTACACTCGTAAGCGTAGTGTCCTGTCTTTTGACATCTGTTGCATCTCTGCAACTTCTTGTAGCCTGTAGAGCGAGCCTTCTCGCTCTCTACATAACAGAGTTCCATCGGCTCTGGACCTCCGTTGTCATATCGTCTCTGTGTACGATATGATGTCGAGCTGGCGCGAGCCTGTCTCAGACTGAAGTCTTCCTGCTCCGCAATGGAAATGGCTTGTTCTAGTGAATCTAGTTCAAGCCGGAACAGGTGAGTCTTGACGGGACCATCCGCAAGACCCTGCATGAACACCGAAACCAACGTGTGTTCATCCACCGGATTGGAACTTATACAACTCGTGAGATGTCGTATATATTGAGTGTAAGCGTGCACATCACGCTTACCCTGCTTGAGCTTCAAGAGTTCGGTTCGAGCCCTGAACTCAGCTCTAGGCGGTTCAAACGTTTGTCTGAGCCGCGACTTGAAGACTTCCAACGACACAAACGCATATGGGTCGTGCAGCTTGAGCCCCAGTGCCCAAGTCTTGGCACGTCCTGCCAGATTTGACTGGGCAAATGCAACTTGCATATCCCCGTCGTCGATGCGACGCGCCCTTATGGCGTCATCCAATTCGACGAACCATCTCAAGAGGGAGTCTTCTTCGACTCCCCTATACTTGGAGATGTCAATCTTCAAGGTCTCGGGTCGACGCGAGTGCATCGACCCGCCAGCAGCAGCCTGCTGCTGTCTCAACAGTTCAAACTGTTGAGCACCCTGTTCTCTCAACAACTCTGCTTGTTGAGAACCTTGTTGGTAAATCAAGGCTGCTTTCTCGCGTTCAGCGTCAAGTTCATTTTGAATGAACTTGGCGATAGTAGCATGTTGGGCATCTCTATTGAGAGCCTCTAGCATGACGCTAACAGCATGGATGCCCATGGTCGAACCCATTCGTTCAACCGCATCCCATTCGACATCGCTCAAATGGGAGTAGCCGTCACGCGTAGCGTGAAAGCTTTGGTCATCTTCATCATCTAACATATTCATGTTAGATGTGAACGTGGTCCTTGGACGGACTACGAAGTGCTACCAGGTGTAACGGGGCACCCTGAAGCTTGTACTGGTGACAGTACCAGCTACTTATTCTGACGACAGAATAAGACGGTGCCTCGGAACGTCACGTACACTCGTACGTGCAGAGGAAGACGGTAAGGAGAAGCAAGTACTTGGTTAAAGAAAAAAGTAGAACTGTATTTATCATAGTTAGTGTCTGTTAATAAACCACTATTTATCCTCATCTAGCTATGTCTGAGTACAAATGTGCATATCAACTATCTGCTCACCACTCATTGCGTGCGTCTGTCGTGGCGTGTCTTCGTTGGTTGATATAATGGCTTATATCAACCAATTAGGAACTACTCGTAAGCGCTGCAGAATAATTGTCCTTATGACAATATTCTGAGAGCATAACTCTTATAGTTATATTCTATCAGCAATTTCTTATAAATTGTAACGTAACGATTCACCCTGTTACACGCGCGCTTTATCGCGCCCACGAATTCTTCTCCTTTTCGTTTTCCCTTCAACGTCTTTCGTGCATCTGTCTCTGGCGCTGTCTCCTCGGCAGCGCTGGATCGGTCTTTATTGCTCGTTGTGCGTTTCAGCTGTTCGATCTACGTTTCCGGTCGCGCGTAGATGCCTTTGACGTACTGAATGAAAGAAATCTTGCCTCTTTATCTTCCAGACGTTGCATCCTTTGGTCTCATCTCTAAATTTAACCAACATACTGATCTGCGATTGCTGCATCAAAGAGTTCTTGTGCGGGTAGCGGTAGACAGAGAAGTGCGACTAGAAGACGGCGGTCTGCCGCAACTTCAGCGCTGGGCCGTTCAGCGTATCTATCGGTGACATGCGCTTCATTTTTGAGCGCGTCGGGCTCCTACATAGCACGTAAATCACGTACAACACATCGTTGCCCCAGAAGCTGAGTGGCAGCGCAGGCAAACATCATAATTTGCGTAAATGCTGAAGATCATGCGGTACAAACGCTGTGCCTTTCCTTTTAACGCCCTTTTCGCCTTCGAGATCTGCCTCGCCACGCCGGTGCACTTGCAGATGAGTTCTATGTTGGCGTACCCACCGCTGCATTGGTGTAAAGCATGTGGATCCGACTGTCAAAACGCTTCCTAAACTGTTTCAGGAACGTATAAAAATTGCTTAGCGGCGGCGTCCTTCGTCTGCACGGATAGATCATGTAGTAGTTGCTCTTGTGGGTGACGAGATTGATCAAGATGGATCTTTAGGCAGTCTTGCGACCTAATCGAAACCTTTCTAGTCCGAAAAGATCACGTTTCGGATGCTGTCGATCGGGCGTTCTCGCAGCTGTCTTGACGCGGTGCGCGTTGAGATTCTGCTCTCCTTCCGTGCAATTCACACACGCCATGTTCCGGTGTATCATGAGACGTATTAAAGACTCCGTGACGCGCACCATTTGCTTGATAGCGTGAACGTTTAGTGCGCAGACCGCTGATGAAAATGGATCTTTTTTTCATAGCAATTTGTACTCGATGACGCTTGCTGCGCTTAAATAAATTTCCCCCATGATGGTGTTGATGGCTCCCTGTTATTTCGTAATTGTGGTTTGAACGTGCAGCATGTTGAACTCTATTGCCGCCCTAAAGGCGAAGGAGCCTTCACTGCAAGGACGAGTGAGCTCTTGTCTTTATCATATTCAAGTTTGAACTCTTCGACTTGAGTAGTGTGTAGGACATAATTTTCTTTGCCAGGCGCAGCGACAGGTTTACATTGATGAGCGTCACGGTCCCATTTGCGCCGTTCGCGATGACGCTCAGTCGCACACTGCCGCATCCCTTTGTTGCAAGCGCTTGACTTGACTACCATTTGTGCGTCTCTCACAAGGTAGTGTCTCGCGCAAATGTCGAGCATCCAGCTTTAGTAGCTTTTGTCATCTGCGCCGATCGCAAGAGCTTGCACGTCTTCTTGACATGGCGCCAGTTCCTCGAGCGTACGGACTTCTTTTTCGGCATGGGCTGCAATCCGCTCCTTCCTGCGCCTTTCTTGGGCTTCTCCATCGCATCGAGCAGCATCCCGCTCCTTGAACCGCTTTCTCCCCGATCCTCTTCCACCACAGCATCCTTCGCACGGTATTTCCTCTTTACGTGCCCAAATTTCCGCACCCAAAGCAGGTTTCGCGTCCCGGGTCGCACGTTGACGTTCGCTGGGACGACTTCGCGTCCGATCGCACCCCTGTAGAGCTGGATCAACTACAAAAACCGCGCCTATTACTCCGGGTGCAGCAGGAAGTCGGATCGTGTGGGGTCGTACTTGGCCCTACTCACATTCATGAGTTCGGTCGACGCTTGATTGAAGATGTTATTTAAGACGAGCGAGTCCGCTCCGCCGCGCGCGTCAGTCGCAGCAATTGTATGGCGAAAATTATTTTATCCACGTTAGATTCGACTTGTTATTCAATATGAAGAACGCCGCCGTTCAAACGACCGTGATCGTCGTCTTAAACGTCGCCAGCGGCTGACACATGACGTAGCTGGGCGTCGGATGTTGCGTCTTACACGTGTGCACGTGCTTGTGGTGGTAGCTTTTCCTTGTCTTCGACAAGAGTTGGCCGAGCAGGTAAACTTCCACGTCTTTCGACCAAAATAAGACGCGCAACGACTTAAGGATCTTAATCGTGCGCAATAAACGTACTTACTTAGTCAAAGAAGCCGGTGCTGTGCCCTCAACAGAGCTCGTTTCTGTCGAACTTGCGAATTTACAGCTTTCATTGACTCGCAGTCAAGTCAAAATTCGTTCCACCCCTCCTGCTTCGTTCGCGCCTCTCATCGCTGCATAATGTGAGGACCTGCTGCAGGCGCTGCTGCGTGCACGGGCAGTTTTAATGGGGATGCGCTTTTCAGCGCGGAGGTGCCAGCGACGCAAACTTTGTAGAAATGTTGGAAATGGGTGCAAGGGTACGAAACGGCGATCGGAGTGTTCGGCCGGTGACTTGGGGTTTATTTGGAAACATGATGTCACAAACTCGCTGTGCGCAAAAGGTGGACGCAGAGTGACAAGCAGGATAGTGATTCGAGTAGAGCCAGAATGCGTGTGAGATGGATGACTGGAGCAGAGTGCATTGGCGAGCATGGCAGAGAAGAGAGAACTAGTAAGAAAATACAACAGAATCTTATTTTTCATCTAGCGCTTCCTTCTCGCAACACGCATCTTGCACACAGCTTATGAGCCCAAGTGCTCGCTGCAGACATTTATCCAAGGATCAACTTGTGCTAGAGACACCCCGCTAGAGAAGGCGCTCGATGCACAAGTAAGGCGCCGAAGAATTCATCAACAGGGATCGTTGACGGTGCGCGTGCAGTCGAAAAGGATTTGTGCAAGGGTGGTGACGCGGGATGGTCTGAATGCGTTGGTGCTATCGAAGGAAGAGTTAAGTCAAGTGGTGACGAGTATAATTGTGGTCAAGAAAAGGTGGAAACTACATACAAGGCGAACGACGACTACGAGATGTCAAGATGTGACGTGGTGCTGGACGATGGGGGAGCCGGAATACCTGGAACGCTCGGCATCATCGAGGTTGGCTGGAGCGCAGGGGCAAGCCTCAATCAGGAGTTCCCGTGGAGCGCAGATGCAGCTGTGATGATTACAGGCGAATGGATACCCAAGTGTTCTGCATCTCATGTCGTCGAGGGTGAGTATGCATTGTTTTCGACTCCAGAGGTTCGACCCATGATAGGGTATGTGTAGAATGTTCATTAGGGTTCCTTGCATTATAACAGGTCGTACAGCAGCTAGATGTATGAATAGTTCTCACTTGTAGATTAACAAACAATTGATGAGGCGACCGGCGGGGGGCCAAATCGCGTCTCGTGCGCGGCAATATACAAGTCGTTTTCTTTACTTAACTCCTACTTTTAACAGGTTATGAGTCCACTGGTCACAACTACTGAACCGAATACGAAGACACCAGGGGGTTACCCGCGAGCCACGTCTGAACGCGGCTCGCCAGCGCGTCCGCCTACCTCACCCGCAGTCGGTAACGATGAACCCGCTCGCGAGAGCGGGGAGCGAGACGATAAGATTCTCGCCGCGCTCGCCGCACTTACCGATCGACTGGCGAAACTCGAGTCGTCGAGAGAGTGCGAGACGAGGAGGAGCGCATTTTTGGGGCCATGGAGAGCAGACTTTGCCTCAAAACTCGGCGCCAACATGCGCGGCCGACCGATAACGATCGAAGCGATCGGAGAAGCGGAGGAGAAGGCACCGGTGCCGCGTGGGTACCAGCGCGCGACTGATCTTGGCGCGTCGCGATTTGCATCGTTCGAGCCACCTCGCGCGCGCGCAGCACCGCATTTGCAGCAGCGCGCACCAGCGGTTGCGCCACCTCCGCAGAAGTATGCAGCGCTACCGCCGTCGCAACAAGTCTCTCCGCCACAAGCTTATGTGCGACCGAGCCTCAACGGATACGGGATGCCGTTGGCAAGCCATCGGAAGTTGAACTTACGCAAGTTCGAGGTACAGAGCTGTACCGCGGACTCGGGAGCGGATTCTTTGACTGGGGGCGTACTTTTCTGCGCGCGGTGAGCCTCGCGAAAGCGTTGTGTGGTTTCGGATGGACCGAAGACGTCAAGGTCGACCTGCTTGGGCACTTTCTCGCCGGCACAACCGAGAGGTACTATCACAAGCAGGTCGATACCTGATGGACGCAGTCACCCACAGTGGAGTACATCAGGGAGCAGCTCCTGCGCACGTTTAAGACGTCAATCACTGCAAGCCAGGCGATGTAGTTATTAATGTTCAAAAAAAAAAGAAGGATGCACGACGCACCTGGGCCGAACATTTCCTGTATAAGGTCGCCGTCAGCGAGGCGCGTGGTGGTGCCGACTCGCTTGTCCATGATAGCATCGTCCACCACGCTTCGTTGGAGCTGATTAACGTGATGCGCGCCAAGTATAAATCCACGCGAATCGACTACCTGCATCATGTCGAGGAGCTGGCGCGCTTCACGCAGTCCATTAAGCACGGCAGCAGCGCGGTGGGTCGTGAGGTCGTCGCCGCTCACGTAGAAGGCAAACCCAAGAGCGCGATCACGTGCTACCGTTGTGGGAGATCGGGCCACATTGCGGCCGACTGTCGCGCGCGAGTCGTGCACGACGACGAGACACCAGTGGAGGGTGGAGGCGCCAGCATGATCCTTGCACTGACCGAGAAGCGCAGGGCGACCACAAAGAACCGCAACGGGAGGAAGAAGGGATCGCGCTGCAAGGAGCCGCAGCGACCAATGCAAGCGATGGAGCGCGAGCCATAGACGACTCATGCGGCTTCGTGCTTACGACGAGCTACGGAGTACGAGCCACGGACGGTACGCGCGGCCTCGTACTTGCGGCGACCGATGCAACGGGCGTCGACCGAGGAGACGGGATCCTCGATAGCGGCGAGAGCCGGCATCTTGTCAACGACGATTCGCTGCTGCTCAAGTCGACGGCTCGCAGCCACGAGATTGCAATGACAGACGGCGAGTCACTTCATCTGATGCGTGTCGGCAGCGTGCGCCTCGGGGTTCTCGCGCGCGGCGCTGAGGCGGTATTGACGCTGACGGATGTGTACTTGGCGCCGTGACTGGGAAAGAACATTGTGTCATACGGCAATCTCGCGAACAAAGGATTTGTCTTGGTGCACACAGGCGGCAGGCGCTCACTCGCTCGGTGCATCGATGGTGCGGTCGCGTTCGATGTCACGATCGAAAGCAACATGCTGTATGTCGTGACAAAGGCCACGCGCGACAAGGAAGGTGCTGGCGGCGACGCGATCATGGAGGCGCTCGATGCGCATGCCACGGAAACTGACGCCGACGAGCCGCACGAAGCCTCGCTGATGCACTGGCACCAGCGAATCGGCCACCTTGCGTTCGACACGATCGAACGCGTGGCGCTCGATCCCGCATTAGGCATTCGGCTCATCAACACTAAACGTATGGCGTGCGTGGCGTGCCTCGAGGGCAAGCAGACGCGCAAAGCGCAGTCAAAGAAGACAGCGGCAAGCACTCGCCCATCGATCACATCGGCGGCGTGGTCTGCTCGGACCTGAAGGGTCCAACGACGCCGCGGGACTGACTCGGCAATCGTTACCTTATGAACTTCTTTGATCCCAAGAGCAACTACTGCCGAGTCTACCTCCCGCGCACGAACTACACTGCGGCGAAGTAGTTCGAGGCGTTCCTCGTTTGCTTCGAGAAGTTTTTCGGGTTCAAGCTCACGCGCTCCGCACTGACGGCGGCAGAGTATACGCCAACGTGGACCTGTTCTGCGAGCACACGGGCGTCGCGCGCCAAGTGTCGGAGGCGCGCAATCAGGCCTCAATCGGCAAGGCGGAACGAATACACCGGACAGTGCTGAACCTCGCGCGCAGCATGGTGTTTGCATGCGCGCTGCCCGTGATGTTCTGGAGAGACGCGGTGCTATACGCCGTCCATATCTTAAATCGGAGCCTTACGCGAGCAAACGCAAAGAGAGCGTCACCACTCGAGGTGCTGACGGGCAAGACGCCGGATCTGCGTGGAATTGTCGTTTTTGGCTCTCAGTGCAGCGTGTATAGGGACCCGCACAAAAACTCGCTGCTGCAGCGCTCGGGGAGCGCCATCATTGTCGGCGTCATCGAGAAACCAAAGGCTACAAGGTGCTGCTACCGCGTGACAACAAAGTGGTCGTCATGCAGCACATTAAGAATATCGAGACATTGACAAAGGCGCAGAACGTGCAACTCCAGCGCGCGATGGACTTCGGCGATCGAGCCGGAGGCCAGGAGGAGACGGACGCGCCAGCAGCAGCAGGGGCGAACGATGGTCGAGCAGAGGGCAACAGGGCAACGCATAAAAGCAGAAAGCGATGGACGCGAAGGGCGCATGGAACACGCGGGGTGTCGAAACGCGCAGAAGCGGCTGCTCGTCAGTTGGAGAAGGCCGTAAGCGGAGAAGTCGTAAATGCCGCTTTCGAGCACGATACGCTTAACTACGGACAGGCGATGTGCAGCGGCAAGCGCGAAGGGTGGGAGAAGGCGATGCAAGAGGAGATCGCCGCGCTCGAGTCCAATGATGTCTGGACTATCACAAGTCGAACGGCAGGACAGCATGCGCTGCACACCAAATGAGTCTACAAAACCAAGACAGATGCGCAGGGCGACCTCGAGTGGCTGAAGGCGCGACTGGTGGCGTGTGGCAACGAACAGGTGCTTGGCGTCGACTACACGCTCATTTTCGCTGTCGTGAAGGACCTATCGACAATCAAAGTTATCCTAGCGCTTGCGGCTACGTGGGAATGCCTGCCAAGCACGGTGTCTTTACAACGCCTACGTTAAAGCGAACAAGGAGCCAAACCTCCGCATCTATCGACAGATGCCGCCCGGCGTGCCAGTCTCGAAGGAGACGCTACGAGCGCAAGGCGTTTCGAACGCGAGCGAGCTGGTGCTGGAGCTGTGGAAGAGCCTCTACAGGCTCAAGCAGGCAGGCCGGCTGTATAGCTAGCTGCTGTAGTTAAAGCTCTCTACTGCCGGTTTCACGCGGTGTGAGAGCGACATGTGTTTCTACTGGAAGCGTGACGGCGACGACATCGTCGTGGTCGGTGTGTATTTCGACGATCTTTTTAGCGACAAGGACGAGCGCGGCGGCGTTCGAGATATTCTTCGCAATCCTCGCAATGTTGTCGATCAAGGACCTGGGGCGCGTCAGCCGATTCCTGGGCATGCGCGTGACGCACAACGGTCAGAATGGGTACACGCTCGATCAGGAGGAGGCCATCAGAGACCTCCTACACGACAACGGACGCGCTGACGCCAACTCGACGTGGACGCCGATCGACGACAGCTGCTATGAGTTGGAGGAGGGCTACGCGGAGCTTCTTGGGACGCCAAGCGGGCAAACACGACCTACTGTGCGCCAGTTCCGGTCGCTGGTCGGCTCGCTGCTCTGGGTGGCGCGTTGCACGCGCCCTGACATAGCGTTTGCGGTGCACAAGGTCACGAGACGAGCACACGCACCTAGACTAGCAGACTGGAAGTTGGCTAAACGCGTCGTGCGATACCTCAAGAGTACGGCGGAGCTCAAGGTCACGATGATCCCAGAAGACAATCTAGGTGCGGCGATGCGACTAGAAGCGTTCAGCGAAGCCAACTTTGCCGCCGACAAGACGGACCGGAAGTCAATGACGGCCGGCATCGTGATGCTGAACGGGATGGCCGTCAGCTGGGGTGCGTGAAAGCAGGGAGGCGTCTCCCTGTAGATGATGAAGGCGGAATTTGTCGAGGCGAGTGAGGTCGCGCGCGAGCTGCTCGGCCTGCGCGAGATGTTGTGCGAAGTGGGCGTAGAGCCCGCGCCTTCGACGCAGTTGCAGGTGGACAACCAAGCGGCGATCGCGTAGATCGCGGGAGAGACTTCGTCGCTAAAGGCAAAATATGTGGATGTGCGCCTTAAGTTCCTATTCGACTACTCGCGTCACGGTAGCGCCACGGCGAGTTATGTCAGGTCGGAGCAGATGCTCGCGGACCTCCTCGCGAAGTTGTTGGACGCGACGAAGCTCTCGACACTGCGCGCAGTCGTGCGCATTGGTTAAGAAAAGGTCAAGGACGATCAAGGGGGATTAAGGAGCTCAAGGATGGAGGAGCACAAGGGGCGCAAGCTCAAGAAATCGAACTGGGTGTGAGGGCAAGTCACGACCGAGAGGGAGTGTTGAAATGTTGGAAATGGGTGCAAGGGTACGTAACGGTGATCGGAGTGTTCGGCCGGTGACTTGGGGTTTAATTGGAAACATGATGTCACAAACTCGCTGAGCGCAAAAGGTGGACGCATAGTGACAAGCAGGATAGTGATTCGAGTAGAGCCAGAATGCGTGTGAGATGGATGACTGGAGCAGAGTGCATTGGCGAGCATGGCAGAGAAGAGAGAACTAGTAAGAAAATACAACAGAATCTTATTTTTCATCTAGCGCTTCCCTCTCGCAACACGCAGCTTGCCCACAAACTTCGACACGCCGTTGTCTGGCGCTAGCGCTCGCGCCAAGCAAGTTTCTGGATTCCGCTTAAGTGACCCAAGCGCGTCGATGGTCGTCGGCTGACCGAGTATGATCGCGTCAAGCGTGTACGCGAACATGCCACCTCGAATGCGCCGAGCATCCGTTCGTCTTCGTTGTGGGAACGCTGCGACGACTCACGCTTTGACACTCGATTCGTCAAGCTGACGAGGGGAGCAAGGACCTCATCGTCCGTCGTTTCAATCTTTCATTATATATCAATTTGTTGACAACTGAGGGCGTGCTGACCATAGGGCGGGAGACGCGCTTAAGAATCCCTTCCGGGCGCGGGTTGCGCGACGCCACCTGGCGTCTTCGTTTTTGTCGCGTCCGTGGCTACGTTTATTGAGCTAAAACATGTGGGCAAACGTATGTTAACGCTGTAGATGGCTGGCAAGATTACGTCTATTGCTTGCCACTTGTTGCTATCTCCTTTCTTACTCTGCTTGCTATCGCTCTATTCCATTTATCTATTCATACAAGTTCTGCACATATCTCCCAGCAATGCGCCTGGTTCTTATCACCCCGATTTTGTTCTCTCGTCTCACCCTTAATCCGTCAACGGCTAGAATTCCCTCTTTCTTACATTACCTATAAATATTCCTGAAAATAGTGTCTGTTTCTGCTCCTTCAAACGGCATTAATGCCGTGGGCCAGTCATTATTTTAGAGAATGGACATGAGAAGACCCCGTCTCAATTAGTTTTAGTACCTATCCATTTCTTTACAATTATAGACGAGCAACAAGACCAAGTGAGCTAAACATGTGGAATGAAAACACAGCATTCGAGGGAGCGCCAAGTACCAATTCTTGTCACATGTATCATACGCATTTAGTAATAATGCATTCGGTCTCACATCTGATAGAGGCAGAAGTCATAGGTCTTTTAAATTTTCTATTAATTGTAGTTAATCGCTATCATATTCTCATTTATAAAATATTTGTTCTAACATTGATCTTCAAAATGTTTCCTTTAAAAGGAAAATGTTTATCACCCACCACGTTTTCGTTGTCCACTACTATAAAAGACCAATATCCACTAGCCTTACGCCTTCAAAAAGCTTATTTTCAAAATATTGCCGCTCTCAGAAGTGACTTACAATTATTTACAGGTATCAAAATACTAGTTCTGAATATCCTGTGCGTGTCTTTAAGTCCGCGACGAGCTGTAATATGATTAAGCTAATCCCTTCTTTATACACTGGAACTCGGGTAGCAATTAGTGGCGGCAATCTAGGTGGGGGTAGTCCCCGACATAAATAATTACACAAAACATTTCTTTTGTAACTTGCTAAGCCTCTAATTTCCGTACGGGACATGTCACTTAATAATCGCACATTGTAGGCGATGCCAAGACTAACCATTGTAAGACTCGAAAGCACGTGTCATGGTAGAAGAAAGAGCTGTCAAAGAGGTAAAGAGCACGTGTGAGACCCTCTTTTGGTGCCTATCTGTATCTGTCGCAAAAAGCTTTGCGGCGGTGCTTTAGTACGCGACTGGACAACGTACGTTTGACAAAAGAGATTACATTGAGTAACTATTCGACGCGATTAAAGTAGTACAGCTCAAATTGTGAAATAGCAAGTGTAGTAAAGGATACTACTAGAGTGGCTTCAACTAGGTTTCTACTGCTAGCGTCGAGTGAGAGAACTTTTTACCTTTACTCAGGATCAAGAGGTCAACAGGGTTATACCAATACGTGGATTTTTTTAAATAAGATTTTTTCGCGATACTATGATGATTTCATGATTGCGGTAGATAAATAAACGAAGTGAAGAATAGAGTAGATTGTTAATTTAATATTGCGGTGTGAAATGTGAGCTGAGATAAGATGGAATTCCGATGGTGGGATTCGTTATCATATCATGAAAAAGGCATGAATCGAGTGAATTTTGTGGAATATAGGGGTGGACGTTTGACAAAGCCCAATGGGTGAGTAATGTATCTCTTAAGAAACAAAAGGCTGAAGTAAGCGTACTCAATAGTTCACGATAAGGAGATAATTGCTGAGGCTGCATTTACATTTGTGCCATTTAATTATCAAGAAGTGATAGATGCACGTAGCAGAAACTGCACTAGGTTTGTATGCAGTTCTTAATCCTATTTAGGGCGACGAAATATTAAAAAGGCGTAGATGTAATTATACTACCGCGCATTCGTAACTTTGGATGCATATTCGACTTTGCAGCATCGGAAGAAAGTACAAAATATTGGTAGAATTTATTAGTTACTGACAGAGTTGAGAGTATATATTCATCTGTGAAATACTGTTACAATTTGTCCGTGAAGTTCCGTTAAATGGAGTGAGGCGTCTCTTTTCTTCGTAGCAAATTCTGACAACATAAAGCTCATAAGTTCATTACTGAAAGAATGTCGGGCAGTGTTTGTAGCTTTTTTAAAACAAAATTTTGGTAATACCACAGTCGCGACCAGAGGAAGTAGTTTATGGACTGTCAATGGGTCGAGTTACGAGACTCAAATTCTAATTATTTAAACGCTAAGATTCTACCGCAGTATATTTAAATGTACACGTACATGTATATATGTCTATGTACACATGTAGTGTTATTTATACATACACATATAGATATATCCTAGTTTCCTTCAAGGATGTGCTCCTAACCAGCTTTTACAGCTACATATTCATCAAGACATGAGCTTAAGTCATAGCTCGGACCAAGGATTCATAATTTGTACGAGTTAATTGTGATAGACGATCCCATTGTACGCGCTAATATGCAACTCAGGACTTGAGAAGCCACACGCTACTTTGCTGATTTCTGCGGTCTGTTGTAGTCTGCGGTGAGTACGCCTGATATAATTTGTTGCATCCGTTACAATTACAAGCTACCTATCCTTTTAGCAATATACCCGACAATGAAATAAAACATCGTCGAGACGAGACCTGGGTTTCAAATTTAGCGTAGCTATCGATTAATAATTTGTTACAAGTGGAGTTATAAGCTGCCAACACAACTCTGACTTTGCATAACTTCCATCTAAAGTTACCGTAGCGCCAAAAGGCTACAAAATACTTAAGAGTAGCGGTGAAAAATCAAAAATTTCGAAGCGCAGCTCGTTACATATTACAGAAAGGTGCAGCTCGACACTGGGCTGGGCTGGCGAAATTAATAGGTTGTTCCATCAATGAAGGTCCAGTTTTTATCTTTTGACCAAAAATTCGATCCATTAATTCTGGGATACTTAAGAAACTCGCATCAGTGCCTCAATTTTGCGGCTATCTTTGCCACATGGATTTGAGAATATCAAATTGTCGAGGAGTGGGCCATTACTAGACCGGTCTGGAATAGCGCAGCTCGATCAAATGTTTTTTACCTCAATATCTAAATTGCAGCACATATGTAAAATTTACTCGTGCAAAAGTCAATTAATCTTATTCTTCACCTCGACTCGTTCCATACGTGCAAATCGCGTCTTTTTGATTATGTCTCAAACCTGAGATTATACCATCATTACACAAATGTACATCGGCTTTTTTGACATTTTCTTTTACACTGGACATTATGTGACCAACGCTTGCCATCGCTTAATACTTTTGACTCTGCCACGCATGAAGTGATGATGTATCGGGGCGCTGGCAACTTATACTGACACATTGTAAGTTGCGCCGCGCGTCACTTCACGTATACAGTACGTGCAGATGAAGATTAACTATCAAAACTCGTTTAATAGAGATAGAAAGAACAACTGTTGCATGCATTTATTATTGAGCCCTAATCATTTAGTTGTGATTATTCCTGAGTAAAGTATATCTATCTATTACATGTATTTGAAGTCTTGCTCACCACTTGTTGCACGCATTCATCACCAGTTGTAAATCTATAGTTGGCTGATATGATGGTCCACATAAGCAAATAGGTGAGTGCTTCTGAACGTTACTCTTCATGGTAATAGGCATGAATACTGTCAACTTTGATGATAATATTCCAATTATAACTAACATATGTTAATTACATGTAACAGACCTACCCAGTTACAGATAAGACCAGGTCGAAATTCGAGTACGGTAAATCGATTTTTCTCTCACAAGATTCCTGATCATCAGATTAAACAATTTTGCAGCAAACTCCAAGTTATGCCAGAGTGGATATTAATGCATTGTCGTCCTCACTACCAAGCTGCTTTATCCTTTAGAAATCAATCTTCCCACCTTTTCACTAACCAGCTCCCATCTACCAATATTGGTAGAAAATCAAGTTTTCGATGGTGACTTAGTTTGTAAAAGGAGTACCTGCCTAAAGAATTAAGTACTTGTGAACAGTTTCAAGCATTTTCATAGCTCTTGATTTCATCTAGATTCTGATTTGTGCAGCAGATAATTAATATACGTT